ATTCGATATCTCCTTTTTACAAAAAATCTGCACACAGCATAGTTTGGGCATCACATAACTTTGAATTACCACCCTACTTTGAGCAGTAATGGTACATTCATGTAAAAAAAAAGAAGTAAAAGTAAAAATTAAAGATGGTACAACCTATTATTTAAAATTAATTACAATATTTTTTTCAGCTGTCTAATCTATTAAATTTGATTTTGTAACTATCTATTTTCTTCTACGACTGTATATTTAAATTATTTATATAATTATAATGAATAATTAAGTACTACAAAATTATTTTAATATTTTTTTAGTACGGCAAGAGTGCCTGTGATAAAGGAATCTGTTATATTTCTTTGTGGGTCTTTTTATTTATTTAAGAACTGCAATACAAACATATTTTAGTTTAAAAACTGACCTAATTTATACAATTAAATATTAAATAAAACTAGCATTTATAACAAACTGGTCTTTCCTAATCTACAGTATATCATATTCTGCACATGATATGTATAGAAGCCTATACTTACCTTTCAGCCAAACTTCAGCTCAGGTGTCTTTGGTAGTTCTCGGTCATCGGACCTTATCAGCTCTTCTTTCATTTTCAATTAATTATATAATTCTTTCATGATTTATATTTGAGCATCGAAATGGCTAAATATTTCAAATAATCAAAATCAAGGATACAATAGAAGAAAAAAACTTTAAACTTTTGAGATTTTTAGACAGATCAGATTATTCCAATAAAGATGATATCTTCCTGACATTAAATACCACCTAATTTTTAGGAAAATGTGTAAAATATTAAATAAAACGTTCCCCTTCTGGTATTAATGAAAAAGTTACTGTAACAGTTACGCAGGCATATACCTACTTTAAATAAATAATTAAAAATTCTGACAACTTTTTGTTTTTGAGCTAATTGGACTCAGGAAAGCACAAAACATGTGATTACTTTGAAAATTTTAATTAGAAATTATTCTTCAAATTAAAATATTTTACCATATAACAACCACTCCATGTAACTGCTAAAAATCAGCAAAATTTAAAGTTTTTGGGAACTTTTGGTACTGACCATGTATATTAATTAATAAATAAAATTGAATTACCTTAGTTTATTTTTTAAAATGTTATTCCAAACAATTTAAATTTCTTAGGGTACAAATGAGTATGTTTGTATATCAACCATGTTGCGCAAGATGGGCCAATCTTATTTTATATTAGAAGATGCATCTGATTTCGTTTGCATTTAGCAAGAAACTAAAAGTTCCTATGAGCTAACTAACCTGTTATCATGATGCAATATAACAGAATAATTTCAATAATATCAAATTACATATCAAACTAAGAAATAATAACATAAAAAATCATATCCGAAGAATACACAGGCTCTTGTTGAGCAACATGGTCAATATTTATGAATTTTATAGATAAATCCTTATGACTTTCTCATAAAGTTGCTGAGGTATAATAACCAAGGATAATAATGTAAACAATATATTATAATGTTGCACTATTTGTACTGTTAACATGTCTTGCTTTAGATTAAATATAATAGATTAAACATATTGTGATAATATTGATAACAACCATATTTAAACTTTAAATTTTTGATAAACCTATCAAATAAATAAAAACAGACAGCTACCTTTTTTTATATTTACATGTCTCAAGAGTAATGCTAGTTGCTTTTTTTTTCTTTTTTCCACGTTTTAAGAATTTAAAATAACTGAAATATTCATCACTTATGAAAGATTTTTTTACCAAAATAAGTCCATGTTCCTTCATTGCTTCTACAAAGTTGTTGTTGTTATTTAAGCGACTACTTACTTCAACAAGCAACATTACTCCTTCATTTTTAAGAACTCTTCTTCCTTCATCGATGTAACTTGTACAATCAGATGTCATTAGAGATAAACAATATACAACTACATGAACAGAAGATGAAGAAAGAGGTGTGTGAGACATATCACTAACTGTAACTTTATCGTTTAAAGCCACTAAATCAAAAGAATGTACTATGACACTTGTTTCTTCCAATTCCTTAGCAATCCGTGCAGTACCACATCCAAAATCAGCTACTGTGAAATTACTTTTGTCTTCAGAAGATTTATAAATGTCTTTGATATCTTTGATTACAACATCCAAAGGATTTGTAGACCAATGCTGCTGTTGCTCTTCAAAGGATTCATGATAAGCTTTAAAAGCTTGTTTGTCCTTTAGAACTTTTTTTTCTTTGTTATTGTTATACATGACATCATTTAAATACCTCAGACGAGCTGATTTCAATCTACTGAGCATTTGTTGCCTCAAATTGGAACTGGGAAGTTTCTTTTTTTTCACTCTACCACTCATAATTAATTAAAGAAACGTAAAATACTTAGAAAACTAAAGCAAATTAATTCATCAACAAATACTGCAACAACGTAAATGAATAAAAATCGCCAACCATATAGGTTCCTTGAATTGACTTGACTTGACTACATGTTATACATGTTATTATAACCTACCCACAAAACATTAAACAAGAAGCATGGGCTCGCAGTGAGGTTCATTGAAGTTAACGTAGAGAAGTAAACAAAGAGATAAAAGGGCAATATTCTAAACTCGACGCTAATTCTATCGATGGAATCCATCAGTCTATTCTTTGTACGGAATTGGATTAAAACAAATTGATGCTTATTCCCGTTGGCTAAAAATGACACAAGTGCTGGGTAATGCTGATGATATGGCTCTTGGGTTGTTTCTCACGGTTATAAAGGAGGCCAGCGAAGGGTTAGAAAGAGAAGCAGAAAGAATGGGCCTATCTATAAACAAAGGAAAAACGAAAATTATATTGTTCTGGAAGAAAACAGCAATGAGCCCATCAAAGCATTATGTAGTGGGAAAATATACGTTCAGTGCGGGTCCATTTTTAATTATCTTGGTTCGATAGTAAATGATCCGATGGAAGAAGAGAAGGAAATTCAAAATTGTATAATGGGGCTAACAAAGCATACCACCCTAAGAAATTTCCTCGGGAGTAAACTGTTAAGTCGGGGTCCCAAAATGACTATATAAAACGATCATTCGACCCATATTGCCCTATGATCGTGCAACCTGGAACCTAGCTGGAAATATTGACAGATTTGAGAGAAAAGCGTTAAGCCACATAAGGGGCCTATCAGTGAAAATGATTCCTACTGCTTGAGAAGAACCAAAGAAATCTACGACTTATACGACGATCTCCAAGCTTCCCAATGCGTGGGAATTCAGCTCCACAAATGGCTGAGACACGTAATCAACATGGATGATAGGGCAGCCAGGCAATTATATAATGGAACACCGGATGGAGTCAGACAGTGCGAAGACAGAAGGAAACGTGGAAAGACTCGGTGCTTGAGGATGGTGAGTGTCCAGCAGACTTGCTATTGACCGCAATGACTGGGACAAGGAAGCTGAGAGGGCCAAAGGCAGCTTCAGTCGCCTGTCGAGCCGATAAATAAATAATATAATGCTACATTAGAATCATTATTTGACGAATTACAAGATGGGGTTTGCGGACGAATAGGTTGTGACAATAAAAGTAAATTTGCTTCAATGTAATTCCGGACCTTTTTAAGAGACAATGGAGTGAAGCAAATACTTACAACAACCTATCGCAGCCGACCACAAGGGATGGTAGGACGTGTGATTAGAATATTCAAAAAACAATTTCGAAACGATACTACTTATTCAGATAAGCTTGAAAGATTGGGATTGATACTTTTTGTGTATTGAACTGCAATACATAGCTCAAGAGGGAAAAATCTTCAGCAGAAGGTTATGTATCTATAACCTAATAACCATCCTTGAGGAAGAAGATTTAGCAAAGCAGTCTAAGGCAAAAGCTGTATCATGATAGAAAGGTTCAAGAACGAACTTTTGAAGAAAATGAGCCCATTTGGGTAAAGGATAAGAATGCTGTGAGGACAAAAGGCATCCTGATCAGGAAAAAAAACCTCTTTCTTATCACTTCATCTAAATAAGTAGGCAACTAATGTGATTGCATATTAACCACTTAAGGAAGTAATGAGACAGAAATAAGATATAATGCAATAGAGATTATTGCTTGTTCATCTATATTTTAAATTAAATCTCATGATGTTATTACATTGTTATAATATAGAATGAAATATTTGGAACTTACCCAATGTTATATTTGTCTAATCCACAATTATTACTGAAGAAGAAGAGCAGTAGTTCAAGACAGAGATTTTTATCAAACTCTACTGTAGGGATCCTCATATTCCAATGTGGTAGAAGACACAGGCAGATCTACGGGGGGGGGAAGGGGGAGACTTTCGGGCTGAAACACCCCAAAATGATAAAATATAACCATGTTTTACAGAAAAAAGTAGTAAAAACTATCTCTTAAAGTATTCTTGTTCATTTAATTACATTTGATAGGACTTCAGAAACCACTTAAACACCATTTCATATAGGTAGCTAATTTCTTTCTTTTTTTTTTTCAAATTATTTATATGAAGATTTATGAAAAAAAAATCTTTCGGGCTGAAGCCCTACCCAAAATTAAATCCTGGGTCCACTAGTGGTAGAAGAGGAAGTTATTGAATAAAATAATGAGAACAAAATTAATGGATCACTGTTATTTACAAAAATAGAATAAGATATGAAAAAAATTATTGTTTGTATCCAAGATTAAGATTAATTCTATGCACCTGGCACAGATTTTAATTACCACTTATCAGGAGCTAGTTTTTGTAAATAACTGTAGGATTTGCTTTCAGAATGACTTAGTCAAAATTTAGGATCTTATCATAACCTATTGAAATTAATGTTGAAGACACCATAAAAATTATAAAAGCTAATAAAAATTGTTTTGCATGATATAACAATAGATGTGGAAAAATATTTGGTAACTAATGTAGAAAAAAAAAAAAAAACCATTATTGAATTCTAACATTTACTTTTGAAATGTTAACCGACCTCCAAGGGAGCTGAAGAATAGGAGAAAAATATACACTAAGAAATTGTAACAAGTTATTAAGCATTTATTAAAAGAATACAACATATAATATATCTAATCCTAAAAATAAATTCTTTAATCCAGGACATGTTCCTTTATGTTTAGAGCAGGGTTCTCCAAACGTTTTGTCCCACAGGCCATAGTTTGTGATTATAAAAAGAAAACTTATTCTATAAATGCAATACATTTGTGAAATGATCTTTGTAAGAATAACAACTCAATCAATAAAAGCTATGATGATTATGTACAAGTGATTAATGAAAATATATATTTTTAAAATTTTACCATGTTATCAAAGAAACTTTAACCGGTCCGGATGGAAGATGCTCGTCGACTAGATCAGCCCATGAGCCATACTTTGGAGACCCCTGTTTAATAATAATAATTACTAGCAACAATGGGTGGGTGGCTTCCGAGCCTTAGAATAAAATAATAATAATAAATAGCATTACAATACATCAAAGTTATGTAACATCTTTAAATTAAATAAGACAAACTGTAGTATTAATACATTTTTATAAATATATATTATAATCATAAAAATAAGAAATATATATAACAATTTATTTAGTAATTGGATAGAAAGGAAGGGATTGAATATATTTTAATACAATGTCGAAAAGTATATAAAAGATAACAATATAAAATTTATGTATTATTTGATTGAGCAATTTAAATTTTGCCAACCACATGAAAGTGTTTTTTGGCAAATGGATTTAAAATGATCTGATAAGTTTTCATCAACTGATTTATTAATATTTTCTCTGAGGCAAAAAAAGTCAATTAAAACAAATCGACCCCCAATGGATATGGGTTCATTGTCTTCTTGATTACTATGAATACCAGGGTAAATATTTAAAGATGGATTAGCAAATACAACTTTACGATAAACCTCTCCATTATGAGGGAAAATGACACTTCTTTTTGTATTAAGCCTTACATAATATTTGAAAAACTCAGCAAGTAATTCGCATTTGTTTAAAGTACATAATAATGGATTATGTATTTTTTTAATTTTCTCAATATCTCTACAGAATGAATAATCCCAACCTAAAAAATAAATAGTTAAAATTGATAGAATTAAAAAAAAAATGTATATATATATATATATTGTAATATTTCTTATATTTTAAACTAATAATATAACCTTGTGGAAGATTATAAAGTTATCTTCCACGAGGTTTTATTATAGTAGCAATACTTCCAAAAGATATAAGAGGTTGTTAAATAATAAACAAAATTATAAGAATATTAATATAATAGTAGATTGATGGTTGACTGCGGTGAATAATTTAAAGAGAAAGATGGTTGGGGTGATCAGTCAAAATAAAAAACAATAAAAATAAATAATTATATTTGCCAAATTATATTCGGCCCAAAGTTCAGGCCTTCATCAGGGCTAAGAAAAAACAAGATAACGAGATCTGGTTCGGTGGTGAGTATCTGGTTATCTGTTTTTTTCTTAGCCTTGATGAAGGCCTGAACTTAGGGCTGAAACGCCAGCAAATATAAAAATAAATATAATTATTTATTTTTACTATTTTTTATTTTGACTGATCACCCTAACCATCCTTCTCTTCGATTAATATAATAAACTGAAATTTATTATTATTCTATCTCAGGTATGCGTTATTGACAATCAGATCAAAACACTCAGACAAACTATTACTATTAACTATTGAAGGAAGCTACTCGAATGTTCTACATATCATGGGTGATAAATATTCAGGACGCAGTCATTATAAAATTTTTTTATTTGTGCCGTTTCAACCCAAACATGTGGGTCATCATCAGGGCATGGTTCGAGCACTGAAGGCTTTCAAGTACTTGATAAACCATGCCCTGATGAGGACCCACATGTTTTGGTTGAAACGTCGGCACAAATAAAAAAATTTTATGATGTCTGCGTCCTGAATATTTATCACCCATATTATTATTGTTAACACTATTTATATTAAAATTAAACACTGATTTCAAAATAAAGTCAAGTATGGATAGGCAAGCTAACCTTTTTTCTATATATACTTTTTCTTCCTTTGTTGCTCTAAATTCATTTGTCTTCTAACATTTTCTTATGTTCTGCCAAACACATCTTTCAAAATAGTGACACTTTCTTCTATTCAATTCAAGCTCCCTGGAAGATCCTCTCTCTTGCAATTCCAAACAACTAGTCTCACTGCCAAACGACAACTTCCAAATGATAATACTATTACTGGAGTCAGGATCCCTTCTCCCATCCCCTCTTCACCCCAGCCAAACACCAACTGCTTACCAAAACAAAAATCCTTTGTCCTCTCCCCTCTTTGGGATTTTTCTTTTTAAGAAAACTACAGAGCAGCTATTTTCTTTTTCGTGAACTAGTACAACTAGAATAGCTTGCCTTGTAACAAGTAGTGTACTTATCTTACCTTCAGTTTTATCACACCTGTCTGAACTTTGACATCATAAAGATAAAAAATCTGATATTTAGTTGTAACTATTATTAAATTAATAATATTTAAAAGGATATATAATGTCTATCAATATTTTTATTGGTTATAAACTTGGTATTATTTCAGTATAATTCAAAACTGTAAATAGTTTTATTATAACATATATTATTGTTTTTTATATTGTTTAACTTGAATAGAAAACCCGAGTTACAACTCTCATAAAAAATATTAATACTTTATCCCCAAAAATATTCAAGCAAAAGAGATCTTAGGAAAACTGTTTATTTCTGCTAGAAATATATTTTTTTTCTGTTGGCATTAAAGACCATATAGATCGTTTGCCGCCTTAACAAGCCTGCTCCATCTCTGCCTGACTTGGACTGTTTCTTTCGATTTATCTGCACGCAGCTCTGTTGCATCTTTAACAATTCTATTTATCCATCTGCTTTTTGGACTCCCATGTGGTCTTTTGCCTTCTATTGAGGCATTCATTGTTATGTAGAGGCTTCCAGCTAGATTGCTACGAGCTACATGGCCAGCCCATCTTAACCTCCGTGCCTTCATATTATGGGATATTAATTGACCAGTTTCTGTAAGTACTCTGATTCCAAATCACTCCGGTTAACGTGCGGGGGATTTTTTTCTCAAATCTTTTAATACTTTTTTCTAGGGTGTTGGTAAGTGTCCAGGTATGACAGCCATACATTACAACTGGCTTTATTATAGCATTGTACACCCTTAATTTGAGATTTGTCAGGATTTCTATACCAAGGAGAAGAACTACCTGTTTACGGTAGTTATTTTCTTTTTTTTGTGTCCTCCCCTTCCTCGCCGTTAAGGCTATACAGGGTTTTCCCGGGGCCAGGGGGCTGGGCGGGGATTTAAAAGATGCCTTGGCACCGGGACACGAACTCATTACTATTTTTGTATCATTTATCATATATCAGGTTGCCGGGCAACGGTGGTGCTGTACACAACGCGTTAGCCCATTCGGCCACCCCGCCCACAGTAGTTAAAGGTTCGTCAATTTCTGCCAGTTGATCATTCACTGAGCTTATTGTGGAGCCGAGGTATTTGAATTTTTCTACTCTCGGGAATGATTTTCCTTCTACACTGATTATTGGGATGGAATTTTCGGCTAATTATCACATATTTTGTTTTTTCTTCATTTACTTGTAGGCCGATCTGCTTTGCTTCTCTTATCTGAGTTGTCTTATCGCGAGTGTCTCAATGTCCTCTTGATTACTTCCAAGGACAGCTATATCATCCGTGTATCCAAGGATTTTATGATTCATTCCGACGTGGACCCCTCCATTTTCCTGTGATGTTATTCTTATTAAAGTTATTCTCCAGGGCTAAGTGAAATAACATCGGAGATAGTCTATCTTCCTGCCGTAAGTCCTATCTAACTTTGAAAGCTTCAGATACTTCTCCTTGAATTAGGACTCTACATATGGAGTCATTCGTACACGCCTATGTCAATCTCACCAACTTACCAAGAATTCCCAGTTCAGTCATGATTTTCCAAAGATAGCTCCTGTCCATAGAACCATAGGCTGCTTTGAAATCGACAAATAGGGCATGGACGTCCTGAGCTATTTCTCATTGTTTTTCAAGTACTTGTTTTAGGATGAAGATCTGGTATAGCGTGATCCTCCCTTTTCTGAATCCAGCTTGGTGGCTGCCTATTATACTCTCCTAATACGGATTTATCCGGTTTAGTATGACATTGTTTATTATCTTGTAGGCAACCAGAAGGAGTGCTATGCCTCTGTAATTACTACAATCATACATGGAGCCTTTCTTTAGGATAGGACAGATAAGGCCTCAGATATAGGTATTGCAAGCCTCAGGTATCCTTTCCTCTTCTCATATTTTCTGAATTAGTTGTAGTAGCTTGGCTCTTAAGTCGTCTCCTCCATCTTGAAACAGTCTCTGGGGCCCTTTCTTGTTTTGAGCCTTTCGATAGCCATTTCTACATCCAGTAAATTTGGTATTACAACCTCTTCTGGGTGAAGGTCCTCAGTGTGGTCCATGTCTTCTTCGTTCGAGAGGTTCTCTTGGTTGAGAAGTTCCTGGAAATGTTCTTTCCAGATGTTCAATATCTATAAACAATATAATATTATTAAAAGAGTTTATTTAACAAGCAAAGTTAAAGAAGCTACATAATTTGTAATAACTATTGAAGTAACAGTTAACTTCATTTCTAAGTAATTAGCATGTGTCATAGTAAAATATTCCTTGAATTAAGCAATAAGACTAAGAAATTCATGAACGGTTACTAACCCAACATTGTAAACGCTGAGACCAATTAAGTTGACTCAGAAGAGCAGGATCTTGGGTTTGAAGTTCTTTGACTTATTAATGTAAGGACTTCATCATCATCATCATCGGGTGAATATTAACAACCAATAAAATTAAAACATGTCCACAAAAGAAGTTTATATTTATCTAAAATATTCAGGAGTTTCTTTCTATATATCCAAAGTGCCTTAAATATTACAATACAAATATTTAAATTTTTAAAATCCTTAACATGTGTTAAGTATCCCATGATAATCTCGGCACCTAGGAAGTTTGTTGTATGTTCTTGAAAATGGTACATTTTAGAGCTTTAAAATATAGAAAACCAACTTCCAAAGGAACTTTACCGGGCCTGTTCATGTCAAAATCTTAAACCACGATTTGTCCTGTCTCAATTTGCCAGCTTACCAACGGTGGAATTTTGAAACATTTTACTTTTTTCAATATATTTTATTAAATTTGTAGCAGGAATTTCAGATTCTAAATTGAAATTTACCACTTCTCCATTAAATTTCGTTTTTCTTGACACCTCATTTATCAAAATCCATTGCTCCTGAGAGCCGGAAAAGAATACTTTTATGTATAGTAGATTAGATTGATTCTTGAGATTCATTAATGGTAAATTACATACGATCATGTAATTTTAAACAGCACATAATCCATAAGATGAATAATATTATTACTGTTTTGTAGCATATATCCAAAAAATATTTGACACTTGATCTTATAATGAGTTTTAATGAAGTTTAATTTATTTTGTCACAGGATGTGCATTTAAAGAAACAATAGATCCACTTCATACAAAATACAAAATATGTCTGTGATTAGATAAAAATAGATAACCATTACTGCAGTAACAGATATAATGATTTTATTGAATCCTACAAGTATATCTTACCTTTAATATATACTCTACTGCCCTCATAAAGTTCTTTCAATTTATGAACTGAGGGAATTAAGCGAATCTTAGGTGACATCAAGAAAAAGAGAACAAGACCCATTATTGCATAACTTTTGAATTTCCTGGCTCCTCTAATATCATTTTCTGTGCTCCATTCCATGATGGCCATTGCTAGCCAACGAACTCGGTCATCTAGAGTAATATAAAGCCTGGAGAAGGAAAATATAATTTGAAATATAACTTTTTATAATATATTTAACAAATATATCAATTAATTAGGCCATGGAGATGCAGTGGACTGTTAAAATTATGAGGATGACCAATAATTGGGAAACACTGTCATATATTAAAAATAAATTTAATAAAACCAAAGATAAATTATAAACAACCTAAATTTTGTCATCATTATATCAATTAATACTGTTTAGCTTCATAAAAAAAAATCCATTATTATAACTCAGAGTAATTTTAATAAATAATTAAAATAACAGGGGGCTGTGTGGTCGAGAGAGTAAAAGCACCTCAAAAATACACTTAAAGTGTAGAGGTTTATTGTTTTTTATTGAAAACGAAAAGTCATAAGTTTTATGGTTTATTAAGGCAGCAAAAGATCTAAATGATTTTTTTTTTCAAGAAAGAGACTTATTTATTGTAAACACACGCTTACAATCTTATATAAAAGAACTATTTAAAACATACTTGATGAGCTCAGAACAGTATGGACCTGAAGGATTAGTAGTATTAATATCACATATCAAGCTGGATTGTAAATGTTTAATTCTTATTATAGGCACTTTGGCATCCAAAATAGTTCTCGTCACTTCAAACAAGCGTGTTGCCTTGTGAAAGTATATTACTAAATCACCTACTGAGACATCACCTAAAACATTTTAATGAGAAAATATTAAAACTTTTAATGTTTGCATGTTTGGGGACTTTCTTGCTATATTCAGAATAAAAGTTTTTAAAAACTAATTTACATGATAGTTTAAACTAAGTTTTTAAAAACTAATTTACATAATAGTTTAAACTCATCATTACATCCATAATTCTGAGGCCATGGTGGATGAGAGTGTTAAGTATCTAATTAGCATACTATTGGATTGGTTGAAATTTATTTAGAAATGAATCTTGATTTTCTAACTCGAGCTCGAATAGATTGATTGCTTTTAAGATAACCATGTTCTAGTACTAGTTAGAGTATATAAGAACAGAAAGTTCAAATAAAAACAAACATAAATAATATTTGATTTTAAAAAATAAATAAATTAGATAAATATATTTTCTTAAATAGTGCCTAGGTTCTCATGCAAATCACAGCACTAGGGTAATCAAATTGTGAATTAATCTATTGTTCATCAAAGTGACGAGGAATATATTGATACATGACATTACTTCTCAAATGTCAGAATATTAACTAATTAATTTATTATTATAACATGAAATATCATGGATGTAATGACAAGGGGAGCATATGTATCTTTAAAAATCTTTTGTTTTGAAGAGGAGTGAATAGTCCTCAAAATATAAACATAATGTTCTTTAATAATTAATTAATATGTGCAATCATCTTCAATTAGAACAAAAAACAAAACTTAAAAAATAGATAATAAAATAAATTATTACCAAGTATTTTTAATTTGTCTTATTTATTTGCCTACCAATGTTAAACTTATTTTTTTTTAGTCTAAACATATTTATGGCCCTTCATGATAATCTCATAACTCACTTTTATATGGTATGTTATTATATATTTTGTTGAATTTGAATGAAAATCTCTTAAATCCTTAGCTTGGTGGCTTAAATACTGACATAAAACCTCTAAATAAGTTTAATATCGATTCTAACCAACTTTCAAGCCACAAAGTTATTAAGCAAGACATCCCCATTAAAAAAGAAAAAAAGAAATAGTATATTTTCCTGCTAATTTGCTGTGTTTCAGAAGTGAAACATCAAAGTAATAAAATTATCATAATTATCTATTCTTGAAATTTCTCTCCTCTCAAACTTTTACTACAAACAATTTGATTAAATTACCAATACTCAAGTGTATATCAACATCACTTCCATGATTTGCCAATTCATAAAGCCTTGAACCAACAACTTTTACACAAAAATTAGAATATTTCTCTGTTAATGTTTCATTAATATCTCTTTCTAGAATACTGAGAAGTGAGACAGCCGAGGATGCTACCTCTCTGGCTTCTTTTAATGAAGATCCGACCCAGCTATTAACAGCTTCCTTGGAAGAGAATAAAGTGGTGCATCTATCGGTAAGTTTACCGGAAAAACCTAATTTTATTTCACCTGAAAGAGAACATTTGAATTATAAGTAATCAATTGGATAAGTTAATTGAATTTCATACTGAAAGTATATCTACCGGATATAACAGCAAATTGTTGTTTTATTAAACCCATTTTGCATTTTATGTTTTGTTTATGAGTAGTACACTGAAAATGTTCTTTAATAAGATCAATATGACCAAAAAGAAGTACTTTGCAGATATCACAAATTTTAATGAAACCTGTACCGTAACATTCTCCCAGATTATTATAATGTTTAACTCCAATTAAATGTTTATAAAAATCTTTTTCCTGTAATCGCAATACATTGCAATCCAAACATGAGTAATTTAACTTTCGTAATCTATAATATGATGAGTAGTATGTCTTTGTGCAATAATCACTTAAATTTACAGTGTTTAATTCTTGACTGACAGTAAATTCGTTCATGGATACCCCTGGACTAATAAGCTGAAGTGTTGTGTTACTGAAAAATGCTTTTTTAGGATAAAAGTTATTTTTATAACTTTCAGAAACAACATTTTGGGAAGTTATTTTGATACTTTCATTGCTCATATCCTTCTGCAATGGAGAAACACCTATGGAAGAAGAATAAATTAATTTTTGACAACTTGTTGCTACGCTTTCTTTACTCGATGTTTTTCTAAAATTTACTCCAAGTTTAGGTTGTCTACTTAGTTCATAGTCATTACCATCAAAATCCAAAGTCTTTGTATTTTTGTTTTGACTAATCAAATCAGGATGATTTTCGGTTAGCAATTTTCCCCCTAATTCTTGTATATCATTAAATATGGCTGGTGTTGATTTTGTAACTGAAATACAAGATGTAACATTACTACTAATCATAGCAGATCGTTCAATATCTTGTTTAATAAAATTATCAGTTAAAACTGATTTATGCCTTTCTGGTGCTGATCTTTTAATATTTCCGAATGCATCTTCATTATTAAAATATTTATTTTTCATTTGGTCTTCATGCTTATATTTTATTAAATTAGTATCGATATTTTTATCATCCTTATAAATTGAAGTTGAGGAATTGATATTTGAACTCAGTATGGTTGGATCATTATCAAAGGACTTCTGTACTGTTTGTTTATCCCTTTGAATTGTAGCAGCTCTGTGCAAAATAAAATGTTCAAATATAAAATCTGCATTATCTGCTATTAAAATATATTTACATTTAATACAAAACGCTGTGAACTGTTTACTATCTTCTTTGATTTTATAAATATGAGAAGGATTTCTTAAATGCTGAACTAAATTTTGCCAACTTTTTAATAAAGAAGCACAAATTAAGCATTCAGCAGTAAATTCTGCATTTTTTATGTGATATAGGCTTAATAATTCCACCATATAATTTTTCACTGACTTAACATCAATTTTTGGCAAAAGATGGATAGCTTCTAACTTGTTGGAACTCATTTCGTCCTGTAAATTACGCTTATCCATGGAGTTGGGCTGTTAGTTTTGATTAGGCATTAAAATAGCATAAAAAGGTCTCAATCGAAATTAAGATAGTTACTCAAGTTTATCTCTAACTTTTCTACGTAAAATATTATTTCTGAATTATCATTTTTGAACGATGCATTTGAATCAGAGAACAGAAAACAGCATATAGATATAGACTTTCTGAGAGGTAGAAACGTTTTCTTTGTAGACAAAATGAATAGATTTTATTAACTAACTACAGTTGTTTTATTTTAAAAAACTGAGGATTATCAATATTAATATTGGATTCATCGTATAGACACGTAGCTAATGGTTAGATTTTCGCTGAAAATCCAAACTACAGAGTTGAGATATCCTATATATTCCTTTGCAATACAAATGTTAAAAAATAAAACAACAACTTCTGGAAATGAAATCAACCCTTTATGTTATCATTATTTAAACAAATAGAAATCAAGTAATTTTGAAACTTCCCCGACGTTCTGACCCAACTTGTTGCTCTTTATCAGTCAGTGCCGACTTTATAGCCTCCCCTCCCCTCGGGGATTGATTTTTTTTAGCCTATTAATGAAGCAAATGAATCGGAACGGATTTGACGAATTACAGTCCAAATATACAGTCCAAATAGCTTAAGAAATTTATTTCAAATTTAATTATTATGGAAGACGGAGAGAGGCGCTCATACTCTGATTGTACGAGGGGCGCCAAATGTCTAATGCCGGCTCTGATCAGTCACTTTTTCAAGTTCAAGAACAAGCGAGTAACCCTTATGCAGTGTCCCGTGAGTAGAGGGACTTTTTTTATAGGAGTTTTAGTAGAAACCAAGAGTTACAACAAATTTCACATAAACGAATGACCAATTTTCACCACAAAGTTGGCCTTGAAGTAGGAAATTCAAGTTTTGTGTTTTTTAAACAAGTCCTGCTTTTTGTTGAATAGAAAGCAATAACAAAAGAAATATTAAATTTAAGTAATTAATGATTGCTCCAATGTAAACTAGACAAAATTTACTTCAAATGAAGGTAGAGTTAGTTCTGTTTTAAAAAAAATTATAAATTATTCGTGATATTTTTTCATCATCGAACTATACTACAGATATCCCACTTTTAGGAAAACTTCTTCGTTTAATTAGCTTTAAGACTACCATATTATACTTCCTACAATGCAAAACTGTTTGCAATAAATGGTGCAGTTTGTAGTCTTAACTGCAATAAACAGCAAATTTATATTTTTACAGATTCAGAATCTGCTCTTAAAGCCATGAAAAATTCCTTTTCAATTAACTTATTAGTCACAGACACAGTTAGGCAAATAAAAACATTAGAGAGTGTATGATGCAAGATACAATTGAATCGGTGAGTGCAGAAACCACTTCAGTCACAAATTTCAAATTTTTCAGGAGAGAGAAAAAACGTTATAAATCCTCCAAATATCCAAATATTTGAACTTTTTTTTCCCTCTGTCATAACATGCATTTATGTTGCTGTCATTCAAAAATGACCTAATTTCGATGTAAATTAGGCTCAGGAAAACTTAGAATTTGATTCTGACTTATGCTGCACTCAATTATTTTTTACAGCCAGCTGAAAACTTAGAAAAAGGTAAAGTTTATATTTTTTAATTGACAATTTATTTGACCACAATTTATATTAATTTTACAATTTATTTTATTTTACAACAATTTTAAGAATTTATATTTTTTCATATTAAATCAAAAATGAAGTTATATTATGGCAAAGTCATGAAATGAAACAGGAATATAACAAAGTGAAACGCTCTTAAAGATCATTATCGATGACTGTATCATTGCCACGATCTGTATTGGCCAGGTAAATAGTTTATAATAAAAAACTTTGAAGTTTTCATATATATTTTTATTCATAAGTACCATAAATATAAATGGTATTCGTATTTATATTTTTCAATATAAATATGCCCATTTCTGCTGGTCATGCTATCCAGCGGTGGGTGCAGAAACCACGTCAGTCACTGACTCATGTTATTTCTGCGCTCAACGATCATGCATTTACTGAACTACTCTATAGACTAACGTGGTTCTGGCAATCAACACGTAACACATTCTTTCTAAGCTTCTTTTCATCGAAAACGATTTTTTGCATTTTTTTACTGAAGTGGTTTCTGCACTCACCGATTGAATTTTTGTGGTTACCGAGTAACTCTATACAATTAGAGTATTATTCATTATTAGAGGTATTAGAGGTAATGAGCTAGTCGATATCATGGCAAAACAAGCAATCAAGGAAGGAATTTCTGTAGGTGATGCTTTTCCTAACGAAGTAGTTGCTTTCGTAAAGAGAATGGCTCTGGAGAAATGGCAGGGTCTCTGCCATGTTTTAAGAGACAATAAGTTGATAGTAATCGAGTCTTCTGTAGTTCCAAATCGAGCGGACCTCCAATTGTACAGTAGGGAAGAAATATTCCTGACAAGGCTTGGAATCGGACACTCACGGCTAACTCATGAGTACCTAATCACAATCGGAACACCCCCTCGGTGTCTCTGCTGCGGGGTCAAGTTACCAGTTAACAGGCACATTTTGACTGAATGTTATGCATATGAAGCACAACGAAATGAAGTTGAATTGGAGAATGATATAACTGAAATTTTGAAAAACATCAACAAATTGGCAAATAAATTGTTCATTAATAAATCGATTTATGAATTTATGAACACTAGCGGATCCAGAATTTAATTTTGGAGGGGGGGCTTCAGCCCGAAAGGTTTTTTTTTTCATAAAAATAGCGATAATTACTTTGGAAAAAAAGAAATAAACTAACTGCCTACATAAAATGGTGTTTAGGTGATTCCTAAAGTCCTTTTAAATGTGATTACATGAACAATAATACTTTAAGAGATAATTTTTAAAATATTTTTTTCCATTAAACATGGTTACATTTTACCATTCTGAGGGGAGAGGGGGCTTCAGCTCGAAAGCTCCCTCTCCTCTCCCCCTCCCGTAGATCTGCCCGTGATTATAAGGTAAAAACTAAATATTTCTAGTCCTAAAATTTATGTTTAAAATAAATAAACCTGTTGATTGCTAAAATCATTCGTGAAAACGTCAGTTTTAGGACTAGGAACATTTAGTTTTTTACACAGAAATTTAAATTTTAGTATGAGAAACATATTCGGATTTGGGTGAAAAACATAGTTTCATAATCAATTTACCTGAAAAATATTTGAAAAAACCATCATTTGAGTTTTTGTAAATAAATTAAAGATGTATTTAGGCAGTTACGTTTATTAAAATGTATCCAACATCATAGAAAATTAATTAAATAAAAGCTTTACAACAATTAAATGTAGTCATTTTTTATTAAAACACGTGTAATTTTAAGGAATAGGATAGAAAATCGCATCATTTTTTAACACAACTTTAAGTGAATTTCAATGTTTTACTTTACAAACACCGACTTATTTAATATGAACTTACAGCTAATTAAATGACAAATTTTTTATAAAAGTGGGGTATCTGTAGTATAATTGGATGATAATAAAAAAAATAGGGAATAATTTTTTTTTTTTTTTTTAAACAGAATATAGTTTAGCAACTCAAAAGTCCTCTTTAAATGGTTTTAACAGTGACAAAACTCTTCATTTGAAGTAAATTTTGTCTAGTTAACAGTGGACCGATCATTTATTACTTAAATTAAATATTACTTCAGTTATCGCTTTCTATTCAACATAAAGCATAGCTTGCTTAAAAAAACACAAAACTTGAATTTTCTGTTGAAAATTGCCGCAGTGTTTATAAGAGCTTTTTTGTATCTCTTGGTGTCTACTCCTATCAAAATTTCCCTCTATTCACGAGACACCCTGCATATCGTCGGTAAAATGCTGAAGTGGCCTATTTGAGAATTTTGTTTACATTTAGTTTATAATTTTGTGTATTTTTAAAAAATATAAAATTGAATAATAATAACACGAGTGAAGATTATGTTTAACTAGATATCTAGTTAAATGAGAAATTAGACATCTTTTATCTGTAACCATAATGTTAAACAACTTTCAGAGAATTACAAATTTTCAGATACGTTACCAAGATACACTAGCAGATACAGGATTTAATATTCATTTTGATATCCAATTTGATATTGATATCCAGGGGAGGGCATCAGCCCGAAAGATTTTTTTAATGTATATAATGATTATTACTTGGAGAGAAAAATAAAGGAACTACCTATATGAAATGGTGTTTAAGTTATTCTTGAAATCCTATTAAATGTAAATACACGAAAAATTATACTTTTTGAGATAATTTTTAATATTTATTTCATTAGAAGTGGTTATATTTTACCATTTGAGGAGGGGAGAGGGAGGAATCAGCCCAAAACCTCTCCCTCCCCCCCCCCGTAGATCCGCCTATACCTAGATATTGCACGATAATATTTCGCATGTTTATTTATAAATTTTAATGGATTACTTGTTTATTACAATCTGTCTCAATTAAGGACACTTATAATAGAGTTCAGAGAGCACATTCACACCATATTTACAGAATCAAAAATAAATAAGGTAATTACAAAATAATATACAGCGAAATAAGAACAAAATAAAATATCATAATGAGGGAAGAAAATAATAATAATAAAATAAAAATAAATAAATAAAATAGAATTAAAATGTTCTTAAAAAATAATAAAATAAACATCTTAGACGCAGGCATACCTATATACACTATTTACAATCGGCCAGAGGAACTCCAAACCAGACTTGTCCCCCCACTTGTGGAGGGAAAAGCGAGGCTTCAGGAGATCCCTGCGCTTCTCCCTCAACCACTTCACTGGTATTAAAAGCCAGCGGAGGCTGAGTAAGGGCGCTACAACCACAGACACTCATGACTTGAGTCGAGAATCTGCCATTGCCAGAACTTCAATATATACATGTTACAAAAGGTCACGGGCCACTGCCGTTTTAACCTGCTAGGAGGATTGTAGGGATGGGTGGTGCTAGATAGGGACTGTGCTACGGATTAGGTGATGAGTAAGGTTCTGATGAAATTTGGAAAATTTGTCTGGGATAAGATCAAGAATAAATGGAATATTAAGGTCATTATGCAGGGTTTTATTGGTGGCATAGAAGGGAGCATCGACTATTGTACGGAGGACTTTAGACTGGAAGGATTGAATGCGTTCGATGTTAGAAAATTTGGTTGTCCCCACATTTCTAGTCTCGTAGGTCCAGATGGGTTTTAGTATTGTCTTGTAGATCAGTAATTTGTTTTCAATAGAAAGTTTAGATTTTCTGCTTAGTAGTCTATATAGCTGGCCATATCGTCGGTTAAGTTCTGTCTTTTAAGTCTAGTATGCGGGTTCCACGTTAGTCTTCGGTCTAAATGAAAGCCAAGATACCGGACTGTGTCTGAGTAAGGAAGCTGGATGGAATTAAAGTAAACCAGTTGACAGGAACTACGATGAAGGGTAATTGGTTGTGCCCCACAGTTCTAGTCCATAGGTCTAGATGGGTTTTAGTATTGTCTTGTATATCAGTATTTTTTTTCAATAGAAAGTTTAGATTTTCTATTCAGTAGTCTACATAGCTGGTCATAACGTCGGTTAAGTTTCTGTCTTTTAAGTCTAGTATGCGGATTTCATGCTAGTCGTCTGTCTAAGAGAAAGCCAAGATACCAGACTGTGTCTGAGATGGAAATCTGGATGGAGCTAAAATAAACTGGTGGACAGAAATTACCACAAAGGGTGAAGGTAATATGTCAACGTTTGGATCCATTTACTTTGATGCACCATTTCTTGCACCAGTGTTCAATCAGAGATAGGTGTTTTTGCAGGTTTATGGACACTGTTTCTGGTTCTGAGTTGGAAGATAGGATAGCAGTGTCATTAGTGAAAGTTGCCAGGAGGTTATCGGGATGGACGGGGATATTAGCGGTATAGAGAATGCAAACCCAAGATGCTTCCTTGAGGAACTCCAGCCTCAATTGAGTAACAGCCAGAGAATTCTGTACCACAGCGAACTCAAAAGGAGCGGTCGGAGAGGTAGGATCAGAGTATTAGATATAAGGATTGTGATAGGTAGGATTTGAGCTTGAAGAGAAATCCGACATGCTATAGTTGGTCAAAAGCTTGCGCTATGTCCAGAAATGCACTCGAGCAAAACTGCTTGTTTCTAGGGCTGAGTATATGTGGTCAACAACTCGGAGTTCTTGTTGGACGGTAGAATGTTGGGAATAGATGTTTTGGGATTTTTCGGGAATCTATTATGGGTAGGATTCTTTTCAGTAGGATCTTTTAACAAATTTATAAATTAGAGACATTTATGGTCAAATGTATAGTCTACATGAACCAGCAAATTAAATCCATTAGAAATATTGGAACAAAACCTTAATGTTTATTTAGGAATAACGGCACATATTTGCTAAATAATACTTTTTAGGTTTTTAGCAATAATAAATTATCGAGCGAGTTAAGGTGCCTGCAAAAATTGTAAGTTACTAGTTTAAATCCCGTTCTCGGTATTTAAAACAAAACAAAAAAAAAAAGAGAAAAAATAATTAATAATAAATTAAAATAAATAAGTGCAGTTAGATTCCTACTGTTAAATTCTCGCAAGGGGGCGGTAACGTCTCCACCTTGAGATTTACAGGTGAGCTACTCCTGTGTTTTCCAACAACAAAGCTCCTGATCATCCAGTTTGGAGGTTGGGCACAGGCCCATTTACCCTAACCCGAAAAAATAACAGGATGGAGAAATCTGCAAAGGGTTGCCAACCATCCTAATAAAGACGGTGTGATTAGTGATCGCGTCCGTTTATTATAAAATCACGTTCTCCTTGGACCTCTATCACCTGGATATCTATACGAGTATAAGAGAACCAACCGATCACAGCTGTCGCCTGGAACAGCCCCGTAGCTGCTAGAGGACTAATGACGGAAGTCAATACGTCAAGAGGCCTTAAAAAAATCTATTAGAAAAAATAAGAAATAAATAACAACAAAAGTCAACATACACTAGAACACAGGTGGGAACCAGTGGCCTCCGCATGCTATCAAGTGTTTTAGGGTGGTCTTCTTAACTGTAATTACAGAATTAATCATTATTTAATATTTAGGTTAAGAACATTTGAAAATTAATAGAATCAACTTGAATTATACACGTATGTGGGCGTATGTGTATTTATTAATAAATAAAAATAACAACAGTAAAATAATGTGGCCTTTAATGATAAAAAGTTTCCCCTCTTATGCACTAGAGTAAATGTTTTGTTCCATCTCACTACCATTGCATATTTAGGATTATTTTAATTTTATATTTTATAATATTATAATTTTATATTTTACAATATAAAATTAAGAATATCGCACCACAAATGCTATACAGGATTCAAATTAGGTGATGGGATATAAAACTGTTAAGGTTTATAATAGTGTTGGAAAATCAAATTACTTTTTACTTTCACTTATCTATATATGAAGGGAGTGGGGTAGCTCAGTGGTAGGGTACTGAGCTTCCAATGCTAAAAAGTCCCAAGTTCGAACCTCGACTCATGGCAGAAAATTTATTTATCTGTTTCATTGGTCGTGGAGCTACCATGGGTCGGGAGACCCTCCTGGGGCACACCCAGCCTCTATAAAGTGTGTACCCTTAACTAAATAATTAATGAAGGGGGAAAACGTGGCGGTTGGGCGTGATCTTGGTCAAATCACCTCCTTGTACAACCGTTGACCTAGAAACAGTGCTTTCCCTAAATAGTACTGAACCCAAGACCCTTCATGGATTGTTGTGGTACAGGTTCTTTTTTTAATTTTTTTTTTTTTTATCTATATATGAAATATATAGATAAAAAATTTCCGAATCCGAGTTTTCAACGGATATAAACTTTTTGAGGTCTCCTGAGAACAAATAACCGAGTCTCGCAAAATGGTGGTGTGTGTGTTTTAACAGTTTCGTTAGCTCAAAAACGAAAAGTCATACGAAACAGAAATTGCATATTTAAGGTTTGTATATGCCTGGAATGTTACAGTAAGTTTTTCGTAAATGAAAAATTTTTAGTGCAAGTAATTTAAATTTTTAAATTATTCTTTGTTTTTGAGTACTAAGTATAAATAAACATTATTTCTTTGATACAATTCACTTTTCGATTAAAATAATAATAATATAATATTTCAAGATAAAAACATTTTCAATGACGCGTAGTGAGTTGGGAAATGTTGTTTTATCTTATATATTTATTGTAATACAGAACTGTTCCTGTACCGTTTTTCTACAAATCATATAAGTATGAGTTATTAATGACTCATTTGTTATATGGGTATATGTTATATTTTAATTAAAAGTTGTGAATATTAAGGGAGGGAAGGTGGTTGCAAAGAGGGACAGAGAAGCCGAGAGCAGTGGGGCTGAAGCACCCCTCCTCTTACCGTAGGCCAGGACGGTTGGACAGTTGATTGCAGGATGTTGATCGCACTGCTAGCTCTTACGGTGGTTGGACCCGTGGCCGCCGACCTCGCTGATCTTCTGGACCTATACAGCCCTCAGAGGTTGGCCAAGGGATGGTCCTCACCTCAGCCTTCCAGTTCTTGTGGCGCCCAAGTCACGCGCTTTCTGGAAGACTACTCCTCTTCTCAGCTCTGGGCCCTCCACGGTAGGTCTTCAGTCATGTTTCGCTAAACTCGGAGTTGATCGAATGAGGTTTACTTCGTCTCCATATAAATAAATATATTATAAATATGTAAAAACCTACATATTTAATATATGCTTTAAGATGGAATACTGTGTAGAACCCAAGCCCAATTGTAACTTTTTACAGTTTGTTCTAATTTTATATTCGACTCATAATTTTTTTTACAAAACACCATTTCAAGTTCCCATGGTTTTCCAAGCAATTGGATTTGTGATCAAATGGATGTATAGATTTTATTTAATACTTTAAAATATAGGTAAACTTGTATTTTTTAAAACTTATTTTCAGTTAATTAAAAATAAATTTCTAAGATGGTTCATGTATCCTTAAGGCAAATTACAGGAATGACTTAGTCGCCAAAACAAATCGATAATTATCACTTAACACACAAGCTGATCCACGATTTAATTTTTGGGTGGAAAGATTTTTTTTTTCATATATACAACAATAATTAATTTTTAAAAAAGAAGAAAGAAATTAACTTCCTACATGAAATGGTGTTTAAGTGATTCTCGAAGCCCTATTAAATGTAATTACATGAACAATAATATTTTAAGAGATAGTTTTTAAAAAAATTTTCTATAAAACATGGTTATATTTTTCCGTTTTTGGGGGGTGGAGAGAGGGGGCTCAGCCCGAAAGCTCCTCCCCCTCCGTAGATCCGCCTGTGACTTAACATATATATTTTTCCTTATAATACAAACAAATAAAATATTTACTCATAAAACAAAAGTTAGTTAATACAGGTGAAAGAAAGACGGATTTCAGATGTAGAAAGAGAGAGAGAGGGTTGAAGAGGAAACCTTGCGAATTAGGGGTGGAATGGAGAGCTTCGTAAGGATTTAGTCATTAATGTAAAGCTTAGATTCCAAACATTTTCGGAATGGCTGAGGTGCCTTTAATCTCATACAATTCCTAATATCATTAATTTGAAATTATATATTAATTATAAATCTAATTTGCTTTACCGCGGAATATTTTTAATAATTTTTATTATTTTATTTATTTACTGAAATTTACAACTGTACTAAATAAATACAACGAGTAAATATAAGCAAATCAGGAGTAATAACATGAACAGACATTTGTAATAATATAAAATAAATGTAATAAAGTAATATGAACAGAAATGATTTAAAATATTCTTCGTTGAAGTAAATTAGATTGTCAAATTTAGTTTCCATATTGATTGGTCTTTTTGCAAAGTGAACCCTGGTCTTCGTGGACAAATTTTCAAGAAACGGGGAAAACTATTTTCTGTTCAAATTGTAATATCAAAATCACAATTAAAAAAAAAAATCTTTATTTTAATAGTGATTAAAATACATTGAAACTTAAATAGGACCGCCTAGGAGGAAAGAATTAAACTTCATGATCTATTTTGTGCAAAAAATAAAGTTGGTTGGGGTTCAGTTTGGAGAGAAAACGTGTATAATTCCAGATGAAAATGTTATAAACAATGTACTATAGAACATTACCATTTTGTTTAAAATAGTGGTTAAATATAATTAATTTATTTTAATTCGGGTTTAAAATTATTTTCACACCATGTTTTTAAACTATTTAGATTCATTAAAAAAAAAATACCATCGAATTCATTGGGTGTATTTACATGGGAATCGTTACTTATATTAACTCGATTTCCATAAAAATCGATTAGGATTCACTTCGGAAATATACTACTCACATATTGACGTGATTGCAATTTGGGAAACAAGTAGCACAATTAAATGAACAGTTGTATAAATTGTAAAATGGGGGTTGGTCCGCCCTTAGACGGACATGAGCACGCGCTAGTAATAAATAAAAATACTTTGTTTTACTGTAGTTTTTAATTAATAAAATTAAACTAAGTAAGCTCCGCTACTTACCCTATTTAAAGACTTTGTAGGATCTACTCTTCCTTGTTCTCTGAACTAGGAGCATAACAAATATTTGTAAATACCAGCTCTTACGTGGTTTCCATTAAGATACGCTTGTTGACTGTTATTTCTTAATTATATGAATTATTTAATTAATTTTTGACCCCAAGAAGGTAGAATTAATAGAAACGCAACTTTGTTAAATTCAATATTTATGTTGATGTTTTATTTATTTATTATTTTATTGTATAATTTTATAAACATTAGAATTATTAAATTTTCTATTAAATTTATTCATACTATTTTATGTACTTATTAAATTTAGCTGGATTTGTAATTATAATTATTGTTGAAAATATACATCTATCTATAAAAGATAATTAATCGAAAAAAGTTTTAATTGGTTAATCTTATCATAATAAGTCGATGTTTTTTTTTTTCGTTACCATTTCATTAAACGGAAATATGCTTCATTATCGTTAGGTTATCGCAAAGTAAACAATATACAGTGTAATAAATAAACAGTAAGATACAGTGTATCTTAAATTATCTCCGAATATTCCAGTTATTTGGTCCAATATTTAATCGAATAGTCCAGAATTTGATTATCATTAAGGCCTTAGGTTCTTTTTATTATTTTTTTTTTTTGGCATAGGAATTTTCCATACAGCCAGTAGTTGTGTTGCTGTTCCTTACTATTTTCATTTTAAATATATCTATTTATTGAACACAAATATTACGTTACATTGATAATTTACTCGGGGTTGCTCGATGTAAATAATTTTTTTTTATTAATTGTATGGATTTAGAAATTTACCTCTCTGATTTTGGTTGGCAGGGCATTCCATCATGATACGTTGGAGTGTTTCTTTTTTGTAACATTTGTCACATTTCTATGAATTTTGAACTCCAATGCGCTGCAGATATACTTTGCAAAGCCCATGATTTGTTCTCAGCCTAGACAAATTTTTAATTATATCTTTTGGTAGGTAAGATCATTATTTGTTCATTAAGTTTGCTTTAGCTTTTGACTGATTATTCTCTTATATTAATCAAATCAGACTTGTAATGACTAAGCATAAAATATCGTTTTAACCATTGTTAGAATGCTTACGATATTCAAAATTATTGTTAAAATATTCCAGCTCTTTTACGTTTTATTTTTACAACTACCTGTTAGCTGTTTTTTTTTTAAAGAAAAATGCAGTAAGTAAATATCAACGTGGTAATTAATACGTTTTAAAAATCATTTAAATGATAAAGCGACATTCTTATAAGTATTAATTTTTTTTTCTCCAAAAATAAATTATAGTGTAATTATAATCTTGTGAACTATCAATAGTGAACTCTTGTTTTTTATTATCTACAAAACCTTTTTGTTTGGGAATAGCATAAAAAAGTAATATAGTGGAAATGTGAACTGTGAGCTAACGGAGAAATTAAAAAAAAAATTTAAGTACATCAATCTATGAAGATCGGGTCAGCTGTTTGAATGAAGAAAACGTTTATTGGCTGATTTTTTCAGCATTCAAGTTTGACCAATCATATTTCTTCTATAACTTTTGAAGGCTTAGGAATCCATTACATAGATGCTTGGAGGGAAAAAAAAATTATATTTGCTTTCAATGCAATTAGTTAAAAAAAACAACTAAAAATGTAAATTATTAAGGTAGTGTACAGTATCTAAGATCCTAAATAGATATCTAATCATGATATATATGTCGATGGGGAATCCAAATTTAAATTAGAAAAACAAAATATCTTCACTAACTGATAATTTATACTCTTATACATATTACACAAAATTGCTCATCTATTAAATTGCATGTATGGTTTATAATTTAATTGCGATACTTGAACTTGGTGAGTTACAGGAGGAATAAGGGATTGACACTTGTCTTATGTGCAATATATATATTATTAGTATAATAATATCCGTTCTTAAGGCCATTTTCTTTTCCGATATATAATTAATCTAATTCCTCGCAAAATTAAGCAGTTTCGTCCTTTGCGACAACGTTACACAATGTCTACATTTTGATGAAACGGGTTACGCACCCGGTAACTACATTACGTGTCCTGAGAAGATTTCCTCGCGGTAATACTCCAATTTTTCTTAGTTTATCTTCGGATGCTAACTGCTCTTACATGAGTTCTCTTGTTCTCTTCTTAATTAGGAATGGTTCTCATGCAAGCTTAAGTAAGTGAAATTAAAAGATGATTTGCAAAACTTTCCTCCTCTCTCTCTCTACTAGTACATAACCAACTTTATTAATTGAAGTTCCCGAATCAAGTAACTTTTCTCACGAAGGTTATGTTAAAAATTCTATCATACTAATTTTCCGGAAGTGTGTGTCAGGTGATGGCACAACTGAACGTTGATTGTACATTGATTTAGTGCAAATCTGCTTAGTATAGTGTTATCGCGTGGTTTATAGTGGAACTTCCCGATGTCTTGGCTATCGGTAGAGATCCGCTTCTCGACTCTTCGAATCACCTCGGCTCTTTCCAAATTGGAGTACTCTCCCTCTGTAATTTCGCCACTTCCATTACTCGGCACTACAGCGTCATTATAGACCTTCTTTTTTAGTTTCCGACTGCTCCAACACTTACTAGACAAACGCTCTAAACTTTCAATTAATTACAAAAGACTCATCTACTTAATCATAATAAGACCTATATGGGCGTACGGAGTTGAGCTTTGGGGCTCTACCAAGCCATCGAATCCCTATCGTATCCAATCCTTACAATCCAGAATCCTTCGTAAAATCCTTAATGCCTCATATTTTGTCACAAATAAAACCATTCATAAAGAACTTAATGTTCCATATGCCGCTGATTTAACCCGAGCCAGATACCTATCCTTTCATGATAAACTCCAGTCCCATCCGAATCCACTTGTTTCCAGCCTTGCTTCATCGACTCCTGATAAACCCCCTGGACGTCTGAGAAGAATATGTCTCGTGATCTTCTTATCTAAAATTAAATAGGGAGTGCTACCAATGGGCAGTATCTCTTCAAGACTTCATGTCATTATTTCTAATGTATATGCATTTTTACTGTTTGTATTTGTATACAGTTGTAAATTTCATTAAATAA